GTAAACCAATTAATTTTAATTCAAACTATTGTTATAAGATCAGCTGCATAGCATCAAGATCAGTATGTTCAATATGTTACTATACCTCTCCTCTGTTATCACCACCATTATGAAGGTTGTCGAGATGGACGACTATTTACAAATTACTTTACCGAAACTGTAGAATCTTGACGATTTTGTTTCTTGGTGCAGTTCGTGTGAGAAATTTAAAGGTGACAAGTGAAGAATCTTGATCACATGAAGAAACGACTTGAGAAGACTGCTGATAACAATTTGATTGAAGAGGACATACGGCAAAAGGCCAAAGATCTTAAAATAAATTTTAAGGTGATGTATTATGTATGAATAGCATATGTCGGGGATAGGATTGTATACATCATGAAGTGACTGTTCGTTGTTTCTGTTGCTATAAATCTAAAGGGGTAATGGAGTTATGTACTAATCCAAGGGATTGTTTGTCAACTGGATGATCGACTGTTCGTCTTTTTAACGCAACAAGAGTTTGATTTTTGTTTATGTATTATTGGCCATTTAATCATTTCTTTCATGTTTCTCATAACAGTCATGAAAATCTTCACAAACAACAATGAAATTTTTCGAACAGCTTGAGATTCGTTATAATGCAAAGCGGAAATTAGAAGAAATTGAAAGCCAAAAGGCTATTGAGCTCGCTGAAATCGAACATATGAAGGTACTTCTTGTTCTTTTATATGTAACATACGACTTCCTTGCTATAGTATGCTATCTGTACTAAATAATTTTGATATATATATACTACAGGTTTCTCAATTACAGAACAACACGGAATCAATAACAAAGATTCATCAGCATGTTTCTGACAGCTTATTAGGATTTACTAAAGAAAATACAACAAAAACCCACGTTAGTTCGTTAGAATCTGATCGCGAAAGTAATTCTAATAAAAAATAAGAGTCTGTGAGTATCTTTAATGAGATTCATAACTCAAGATTAAAGATTTCTAATTTTGCTTCTGTTCATTAAAGTCAGTGTTAGAACAGGGCTTATTATTACGAAGAACAATTACTAATAAGTTTGAAAGACGCGTTTGGACGATAGCTCTGAATTAGGGTAAAAATGGAAAAAAAATCTGTCGTTATCAAAGGTTAGGATATAACAATTATGTTTTTTTTATATAAA